AGAGGGGGGGGGGGGGGCGGTGGGCGAGAGAAGACCAAGTTTGGTCAAGTTAAAAGTGATATGGTGGTATGAAAATCCTGAATATGGCATTCTTGGTGATTATAAAGAAGCAATGGGGGATTTTATTCAAGTAAACTTTGAGTCTCTTTGCGCACAGAACAAAGTCGATGTGACGTCAAAAGTAAAACAGCTCTGTGCTGTGTTGGGTGCGAATCCATCGTCCCATTGACGATCAAACCCAGGCCTTCACAGGTAGATTGCAAGCACACTATTCACCGAGAAATTGGTTTGACTGTCTCACTTTTTATCTACATAATATAATACCGCCCATCATTGCACGCTTGTTACGGACATCTCAACTCACTCATTTTATCAATAGCTTTTATGATTACGATATTAGGGTGTTAAGGTTTCCGGTAGAGGTAGCACATCTAGCTCAGAAACGTGACAAGATCCTTCAAGACTGTCTTTCCTCTGGTCCACGCCAGTCGCCCAACTTTTATTTGTGGCTCCACGAAATTGCTTGTTTATGTGGTATCTGCCAGGTCCCGGTAATCGCTTGGCAGTCGGGTGAAACCAAGCGGGAGTGGCCTGGTTCCTCGGAGCTCTGTGAGACAGCCTCATCCGTGCACATTAAATGGCCTTCCGGGCGGACTGATTTGTATTTTTGATCTAACGAATAAGTAGGCTGTTCGAATCCAAGCACCTTAGTGCAAAAGCCTCTGCTGCCTTGTAGGTCACACTTTATTTTAGTATAAGTAGTGGTGATTGTGCATGCACTCATTTTGTTACCGGATCTAGTTTGCTTGTTTTATGTAGTCAATCTGGTGGTGCTGCTGTCCTCTGTCTTCACTAATCAATCTAAAGGATATCAGAAAGACCACAACAAAAGCCGATACAAAAAGTGGGCATTGTGCCTGGCAGGAAGGTCGATGCTCTCATGTACATTTTTATTCTTAAAACACCGTGTCTAAATATCTTACCTTCATTTCTTCTAACACAGATGCTCTTCTACTCGTTGTCCGACATGGAGACCCACGCAACTCAATCATCTTGGGTGGTTATTTCATCTCTTACGCTGGCTTCTGGTCAATGTTTTTGCCACGCAGTGCCATTGGGCACAAATTACCGCTTTAATAGAAGCATCTTTGCCCCTGTGGTTGAACATGTTGCGAGAAAATCGAACAGCAACACTCACCTCTTTACGCTCTCAAGAGACGAGTAATACAAGCGCTACAAAATCATCCATGGAGTCGTTCAGCGTAGGTTATTTTGTGTAATCATTCCATCTTTATATTTGTCTGTAATGACATTTGTTTTCAAAATCATTTGGCATATAAAATTTGCATTATTTAAAAAAAATAGTTTTCTGCACTGATTAAGCGCTCAGATGTAAACACATTTGGTATGTATGTAGAGTTCGAGGGCACAGACGCGAACACTCCCTACCCCTAAGTCCGTGATTTAAGCTCTGGTGGCTGGGACACAAATATTGCAATTAATGTTCACGAATCGCACTCAACAAGGAGGAAATGGCTGTTCAGTGCTCTATTCGCCACTAATTAGACTGAATTCTATCGCAGGTAGCATTCATAAATAAACGCTGACTAGCTACCAAGTAGAGCATTTCATATTTCATTTAGGAGTTTGATCGAAGGACTTTACTTTTCCCGGTCATCGTTTAGACTTCATCCTTAAGTGTGACCGTCAGTTGATCCTGTCAGCAATGCACTCGGGATAAAATAGACTCAAATTCGTTGGAGCTTATCAGCAGTGCATATCCACCGACTCTTTCTGGAATTTGAATTCCAGACCCCTCCTGTAGAAGGCTTGTGTGTGTGTGTGCCTGTTGACACCGCACTAATTAGCTCAACTAAGAGCTGATCGGGATGATCAATTCAGATCTGTTTAGATTCTATCTTCAGCGATAATCAATCAACTATACGGCAAAGAAGAGGACTGTTCAATCAGGTCTTTCATGCAGGTACTGGTTTAAAATGTCCAAGTAAACCTGTTAGACTAAATTTTGTTTCATATTTAATGGTCACATCAAAGTCAACGTTTAATCAGCTAGAACTGATCAAAAACTATCACGCCACGAATTTCAGATGACCACAAGATGTTAGTTTAGTTTAAACGTTGATTTCTCATTCAATATTGCATTCGACCGCGAAATATTCCTTTGAGCACAGTGCGAAAACTGCACCCGTTTGCAGTGAATGAAACGACTGTTTGACTGACTACACTTTTGCCTGTTGAGTATTTCACATCCCTAGCAGTCATTTGCTGCACCGCACTTCGTGTGCTGTTGTCTTTCCCAGTGGTGAAAATCACATGGAGTGCAGCAGATGACGTGGGTACGAAGCATGAAGAACTGCACGGAGAGATTCAACAGAGTAGACATCTCGAGTCCAAAACACTTACATGTTGGTTGGTGATACTGACGGATATGATAGCAAACCGAGGTTTTTGTTGTCGTTAACCTTGGCTACTACGGGTAGTTTTCCACACTTTGGTATTAGGTAAGAGCTAATTTACTTGTTTATTATGTGCTGTCTTTTCACCCATCGTACAGCTGCAATATATTCGCGATTCTTCGTGGATCACTTCAGTTTCTTCGCATCCCACCGGTCTGGTGCCCTTATTCGATCCGTGGGCCAGTTTCACCTCTTCCAACGGACCAACTGTTCATTTGCTGCAAAGTCTTTCCAAAACGACAACACATTTTCCCCGGTCCTCCTCTGACCTGATCTATCCACGTACCTTGTTTCTAGTGGAACCAATCCCATGTCTGTGCTGCA